AAGGAGCACTTCAAAGGTAGGAATGGGTCAGATGAATAAAGATAGCACGATCATATGATTCCAATACACCCTCCAAAGATGAGCAGTAAATGTAGATGCTGAAGAGACTCTGAGCCCTGTTGTCTTTTCCTTTAACAAGCTTGCAAGCTCAAACTCATCTCCTCGTTCAACAGTGAACATAGCATTGCACTGGTGTTCAAAGTGATAACATATTAGGATTATTATTGCAGACTAAGTATATAAATAGCTGAAAGAGTAGGACTAGGTTTTACTGTTGCCCATTCCAGTCATTTTAATGGCATGAATCTTGAGACACTACCTGTCCCAGTTTATCCACTCTGGTTCCTTATAAAAAAAAAAGAGTTACCTGCCTGTGCACTACTGACCCAGAAAATCCTCTCTGCTCCCTCTGAAGTCTCCAGTTATCCCACAGATTCTGTGCTAGCAAGTCTGTCTTATGTTGCTTATGTCCTTGACCACTGGGCAGGACGACATGTCCTGCCCCATGGCTAAGTTGACCCCATGACTACTGAACTGAGTTGAATTGTTTAAGAAAGAAACCCAATGGAACCCTGTTTTTTAACATGGACTGTTTCAGTGATCCTATGCACATAGTCTCCGTGCAGGAGGTTTTTTTCAGAACGGAGTGGGTGGTGAACTGCAGTATGGTATAGGAAAGAGTGGCCAGAAACTTCTGAAGTCAGCTCTGCTGCTGAAGAAATTGTTCTATGAAACTGTAACAAAAGATGCTTACTGGGAGAAGAGGCAGAAGCAATGTAAGTCATGGCTAAGAGAAACCCCCTTTTTTAAAAATTCCACAAAAGAGGAGATGAAAAGTTCACAAAGCTTCCAATTCTTGGAAATCTTGGAAATAAACCTCCTCAACATCCTCAGTTGAGACATTTTGCCACAGATCTGAGGCATGGCCTTTTGAGGGACAAAGCTGAAGTGAGTTTTCAGGGTTTCTCCTTTGTCATCTGACCCTTCAGAAGCTGGCCTTGGCCAAAAGGTCAGTCCTGTGGGATGGGAAAATCTGAGAAGCTCGGAGACTATTGTTCCAGAATACACCTGGCGTGGTAGAAGGCTTATTTCTCATCCACCATAAATAAACTCAGAATTATTAAGAGACACACCATTAACTCAAAATTTTATGTAGCAGCTGGGGAATCTGCCGAGAATATACTTATCAGTTGAGGTCTATTTTACGAACTCTGCACATAACTCAAACCATCAGCACATATTGGCTCAGCCTTTCACTGACAGGGACCATGTCACGTATCCCACAGGGCGGCTGGAAGCCGCCAGCGGACAATGGGGGTGAGCAGCTGACACGGGCCGCCACGGCCCTGGCGGAACAATGCAGCTGCCGCGGAGGTTGGCCCCGCTGAAGGAAACTCGCTTCTCCCAGGTTGTCTGAGGGGAGGGACACTGAAGCAATGGAAATTCCCCAGCAGTAAAGGAGAACAAAAGAAGAGGTGTTGGAAGTTGCCGTTAAAAAGAGACAGGCTCTCTAAACCTGCTGGCTGCCAGACTTGGACAGCTTCTTCCAGGGCCTGAAAGACGAGAGGAGGGGTCCCCTGGCTGACAGAAAACCACACTGCTCTGCAGGACGCAACCCACCGGGAAGCACAGATTTAAAACTACTCCCTTCCACAGAGGACCGGAGTTTTACTGTCCCTCGTCGGGGCGTGGGGTTGAGAGCGCAGCTGCTGCCAAGGGCCCTGCTCAGCCCAGGGGTGTCCTGGGGCTCAGTGGAGCCCCCCACGCCCAAGTCAGCCACAAAACCCCTCGCTGCCCCACAGACGGGACCTGGGCTCTGCACGAGCCTGTCTCTCTTGTTTTTGCATGGATCTGGAAGTCTCTAGATTTCCTCCCCTGATTAAAAGGCGTGGCTGCTGAAGAAATTATTTTACAGAGCCTCCAAATTCCTTACTGCCCTTGTCATACGTCTGCAACAGGAGTATCTGCGAGGCCAGGGCGTGGGGAGGGGCGTGCTGCACCACGGCTAGGGCTGGGCACTGCTCTGGGACCGCCGAATCCCCCTTTCTAGCAGGAGTAACTCTGCAAGGACTCTGCACCTGGAGAGGAAACTTGAGGAGTAATCCACATATGCTAGATTAAAATATCTGTTAAAAATCCCTCAAACCCACACATATCCTTCCCTGAAAAAAATTAAAATAAAACCTGTGATTTTACAGCTTACTTTCCTTAGTAGTACAGCCATAACGGGTGTTTTTACTGAAACAAAGGGAAAAGTTACATTGATTTATAAATTCATTAAAACGCCAGGAGAAAAAGCAGTGGTTAACTAAGTACTCCCATTGACTGCCATGGCTGTTGGATCAGGCCCAGAAGAATACTGGAATAAGTGGTGAAACATTTTATTTTCTACCTTTTAAGTGGCTACTGCAAACAATGGAAAATACAAGCACATACTTAGAATAACTCTATCCTTTGCAAAATGAGATCACACCTAAAAATACTTCCTCTTGTTGCTGTATAACTTCAGTTTATGATAATAGCTATTACACACATATAGTGAAGAGGAAAAAATAGCTTCCAAAGTGCTGTGTAAAAACTTGATATTGTATAGTAGAGTTTCTGCTACAGAAGAAACTTGAAGATCTGTAATGATTCAGGCTATTTATTCAAACAGCAGAATGGACAATCCAATTATTGCATGGAAAACATGAAATAAGGTAGTAAAAAGCCAGGGGTTTGAGTTATCAAATTATTGGTTGGAGACAGGAAAAGCTATATGATGATGACAATTCTTTGTATCAAAATTATATCAAGTATTAAGAAACAACTGCGAAATATATCTGAATTTTAGTTTTCCAGTTTGAAACAATTAGTGCTATTATTTACATCCCCACACATAAGCCCACACAGCTTGAATTTCCTGGGATATACATGTGCTATTAATTTTTAACTTCACTCTAGGATCCAAGCCTGAATCACCAGGCCTTGTCACTTTCAGGCGCAAGGGTGTGTTTTGTCCACTTCTATCAGAGACTGTTCCAGTGCCCTGACTTCTCAAAGTGCAAAGGTATTTTTCAGGAGTTTACATTTTATTTTTTAAAAGCATCTCCTACACTTAAATTTCCTTAGCAACTTCCGAAGCAGCCGACTTTTGCAGCTGTGTTGCCGCGCTACGGATTTTATCATTGCTTGACCAGAGAAAAGAGCGTTGGTTGAGTTAAAATCACCATTTAGAGTGATTTTCTCTAACGCTGCATCAGTTCCCTGCTGATTAGCACAGACCTAACAGCAAACAGTATTTCTGTAACCTGAAGAAGAGTAAATTAACATTTCTAGAACAGCTCAGCGCTGGCCTTCTTAAGACAAGAGCAGCATTTTGTTATGCAATTTCCTCAAATCCATTATATATAGACAGAATTGGTTTGGAGTTTAATTCTAAAACTGCTAGAGTGATTAATTTCAAAGCGTGGATTCCCAGTGTTCCTCTCAAAATATAGAAAAACAGACAAGAGTAAATGCAAAGTTGCTGCACGAACAGAAATACATGCAATTGCTTTAGAGAGCACAGAGCTGACCCTGCTCCCTTCTCTGCCAGTGGGAATTTTACCACTGACTCCAGTGAAAGCACAGCCAGGCTAGTGATTTTCTAACACTTGAAGGCTATTATTTTTATTTTAAAATGCAGGAATAGCCTCCCGCTCTGGTCCCGTTCTCAGCCTGAGGCTGTAGCCCTGCCAGCACTGTTAATGTCATTGTTTGCGAAGCATATTCCCAGTCTCGCGTACACCCACGCAGGGCTCCCAGCCGCGATGTCCCCCCCATCTCATTGTTCCAGCTCCCCCCGCATTGTTCTCGCCCCCGCCCACCCGCCTGCCATCCCCACCCGGGAGGGACCCTTCCTCCCTCCCTCCCACTCCCCGCAGCCGCTCAGGCTCCTTTCTTACCTACTTCCATATATTCCGCTGACCTATTGGTATCAAAACATTTTCCCTTTCTGAAAGCGCATTACATAAACTGTCGTTACTAGATCCCACAGCTATTGCGAGCTGTGGGCGCTCTGCCTTGAGAAGCCCTGTCCAAAGTCTCTTAAAGAAGATTCTTATTTCGTTGCTACGGACTTTAGATCAGGCCCAAAATTAGGACTCTCAGAAAGCATTATTGCATTTTCAGATAGGATATAAAAGGGTAGAGCAAAATTATGTTGTCACTATAGAACAGAAATATGTAATGAGACAGATACATAGGGATCGATATTATTACATATTCACAATATATATGTACAGAAATGACTGGCATGATTTACATGGGCTCCATTGTTACAATAAATAAAAGTTAAATCCCTTCTAAACTGTGCTTTTTCTCTTTCACATATAAAAGCAAGTAGAGTTAAAAGTGTACTTCTAAGAAAACCAACAAGGCAAGGCTCGCATTTACGTAGTCAAGTGTTAATTGCAGACAGGATTTCTAAAATAACTTATTTATATATGTATATCCATATATATAAAAAATATAGAAACATTTTTATTCATTTACTAGTTAAACAATGATTGAATGTTTAAAAAGATTTTTAAAAACCCACAGAAACAGATGAAGTTAGCCAGCTGTCCTGTCATTATTTTGGCCACCTTGCTTTTTACCACCCTCCATTTTGTACATCCACGAGGTTCTTTTGAAATAGTTATCTGCACTGTGCTGTGTTTTTCATACAGGCATACAGGGATACTAACCCTAAATTTTTATGCACTTCCTAATTTTTTCCTATGATACTTCACTTTCAGTGTGATACTGTTTTCAAAATTATACTCCCTCTTTTCACAAAATCACATTTATTATACAGAGTATGATGTATAAACTGTCTTGCATTCTCACAGTAAAAGTGAATCTTTTTTAATCCTTGGGAAGAAGAGCAGCTATATATGCTTAGAGTAGATTAAGTACAGAAACAAAACCAAATACCTCATTTTATTAATAAATAAATATTTTATATTTTAATACACAAAAAACTCATTAACTCTTACCATGGCTTATGCGATGAAAGCAGTAGTATGCAAAGTCCACTCCCAGGAGTGTCAAATACCATGTCCATGGCGAGTCCCAGGGCAGTTCAAAGAGTCTGTAGTTATTCCATACATAGATATAACTGATTAAGTCAACACTTCTGAATAAAACACTGAAATAGAGATCCAAAAAGTTTTATCAATAATTTTGTCAACTTTAATTACAGAACCTTTTTACTGTATATTTACCATTTATCAGGTGGGAGTCTTTTTGTAACACATAAAACCAGCCTCCAAATTCTGCAATCTTTGTCAAGTAATACTACTGTTGACTTCAGTGGAACCTTTGCTTAAGGTGTATGAGGTGTTTAAAAGCAGCCCTCACCCACTCACCACCTGTGGTGTGGCATGAGGCGTGCTCAAAGGCTGAAGCACTCCTGTGCTCTGCAAGTGGTACGGTGTTCCTGTTCTCCCAAGTCTGGAAGAAACCCATCCCTGCTAACTCACAAGTAACTGAAGTATAGCAGCAATTATGCTCAAACGCTAACGTATGACGTTAAAATACCTTGACTATTTCCACTGTAAGGAAGGGCACGGAAGGTGACAGGACTTTGGGGAGCAGTGAGATACTCGATCTGCTCAGCATATCACTTAACTTCACTTTAAAAGAGGATAAATGCAGCAGGAGGAGTCAAAGCCCAGTGCCTTTGAAAAGAAGGGAAAGGGCAATTGGTAGAGAGAAATGGCAGGATTGCCAGAAAGGGGGAGAAAAAATCATGAATTTGCAAAGGCGGGAAAGCCTTTGTTGCTGCTGAGTTCCTGGACTACAGGGCGTGAGCAGCTACCCCTGACCTAATGCAGTAATCGGGAAGCGTTAACCCTAGCGTGAAAGAGATGAGAGGCCGTGGCCACTGGGGTGGCCCAAGTGACAACTGGCTTAGGTAGCTGTGAAATGGCACCTCAGCTGCAGATTGATGTATGTTTAAACTGGCATTTTTGTAGAAGAGAGTAGACCACAGCATGATTTGCAGCAGCTTCCTCACACCCCCTCCTGTTACCCCCTTTTTGCTGTACTGCTGAAAATGTTTGTGGGACTGCGGTGAACTGAACTGGGGCAGCCTCTGAGAAACAGCAAGTAGAAAAATGTAGGGAAAAGATACTAATTGCAGGAAAGTCACACATATCCTTTTTTTAATATATCAATCAGTTAAATGCACCTCAGTTTAAGGCCTAAGAGTCAGAAATAAGGTTATCATTAGCACCATCTCTACACACAGGAAAAACTAATCTAGTTCTCCGATGTTTTGCTGCTGGTATTTTTTTGGGGGGGGGTGGAGGAATCATCAGTAGAACAACAACTTTATGCAAAGTTGTGGAAGATTTTAGAAATCTATAAATCGTATTCATGGTTGGAGGAAAACTGAGGGATTCAAATTCAGGGTACTTCAAATGGAGATTGCAAATGGCATACCTGCAAGACACTACTTGAATAGAGGTGGTAACAAACTGCACGTAGGTGTCGGAGCTTTGCAAAACCTCAGCTGAAAGACTGTCACAGACCAACATCTCTCTTTCACTTTAGTCTCACCTGGAATTTCACCTTACATTGAAATCAGCCAAAAGACTTTCCATGTGTGTCTCTGTCCACATCTGCTCATTCTTGTCTCAGTGCCACTTCTCAATGGTACTTCTTCTCAAAACCTGCCTTATTTTTTTTCCTTTTTACAGCTAGATTATTTTTTACATGTTTTCAGTGATTTAGTTTACAGCATGGCCCCGAAAATACTTTAATCTGCAAAACTAAAAAAAGGACATATTATACTCCTCCTCCTCTCTAAAACCTTGTTTCACACACCTGGGAAACATCCCTGAAAACAGTCTGGCCATGTCCTGTCCTTTTGGGTAGCTGCACTGAAACATGAGTGAACCTCAGAAAACGTGGCTACTTCAGCTTGCTGAACTTTGCGGTCACCTCCATATTTTTGCAGAGATATCCATTCAGAGCTTTTATGCTTCTGGCATTAGCATCTCTTCCCATAACAGTGTTTTGAATAAGGCTAGAAGGAAACATCTTGAGCTTCTGTGCTGCTAGTTTCTCTATTAACGAGGAACAAAGTCAACTGAAAACCCCAAGCTCCCAATACTAGCCTGCAAGCAGGATAGTATCCCATCCACCATTTTATCCTGAGAAGCTGAAGCTGTACAAGGAGTTGTTGCTTGGGAAGAAGAGAACTAATATCTTTTCCACAGCCAGCTGTCACATCTTACCTGCAACTCATTCCTACCTTTACTACAATCATCCCAATTTTTCTCTTGGACAAAACCAAAACACAACAAAACCCATGAAGTTTCATTTCAGCAGCTGGCAGATGAAGAATTTCTCTTGACTAGCAATGACAGGTGTATCTACCACTTCAAAAACAACTTCGCTATGCCCAGAAGTTGGACCATACACACCTGGAACATGTTTAATTTTCATAAGAGCTGTGTTCTATAAATATTTTTAAAAAGATTATGTGTCCAACCAGATTTTTGCAATTCACCTCATGAGGCATCTGTAAAGTTCAGTATAAATTCTCAATCCCTTTCACAACAGGTCAGAAGGGAGCTGGTATTATTCAAACACAAAGAAATGGGCATTTCTTAACATCTTTTCAATGACCAGGAAATTTAAAACACCTCTTGCAACATAGAGTATCGCTTATTATTAGGTACTGTTTTCTTACTTTATTCTTTTGCTTTTATTAACATATAATGCCTTTGCAGTACATCCAAAGATATGTGAACTGGTACATTTCCTCCATTTTTGATCAGCTTTCAGTATTGCACCCTCGAGTCCTTTTTTTTTTTTCTTCCACAGGCTGAGGCCAGGTGTAAAACTTGAGTGCACCCTCGCCTTTTTTTTTTTCTTCCACAGGCTGAGGCCAAGGTGTAAAACTTGAGCTAACCCTGCAACACATTTTTATATATGTAATTTGCTGTACAAGTCAGAATTTGCTTATTCTTTCCTTCATGCTTGAATCACAAGTCTACAGCACATAACACTAGCTGATTACTGTAATTAATTTAGAGTAATCCATCATATCACTATGCAATGCTGCAGAAAGAAGAGTTGCTTAGCTAAGTATTTTTTAAAAATTTACAGTGTGATAGATAGGAAAGTCCAGAGCTTGCATTCAATTACGATTCTGAAAGTTCACTTGGAGTTTTAAAGGTTTATATTGCTCCTTTTTTTCTCCCTCAAGTTCCATTTTCACTTCTTGAAAATACTGAAGAGAACTTAAGAAAACTTTTTCCTCATTTAAATGTTAGTTTTTAACTATAAATATGACAGAATTGGATAGGTAAGACTTTTGTCATCTAGTCAAATCCCCTGCATAAGGAGTAATAAATCCCAGAACAGACAGACTATATAGAAAACCTTATTATATACATTGCATAGATTTATCTTGTTGGATTTTGAACATTTCTGCTGAAAATTTTCTTATTACGTGCAAAGTATGCACTTAGGCCACTGTTTTGACTTTGAGAGAGGATTCTCATCTCCTTGTTTCTAAAGTTCATACATAATTTACTCAAAGGTGATAATACTTGTTTTAATAAACCATTTCCTCCCTTCTCCTTCCACTGGGCCAGATTATCATTTCTTCTAATTAAAGAAGTTTAAGAAGGAAATTCTGGGAGATGAACTCTCCATGTGGACATGAAGATCTACTTATGGTAGATACCTATGGGATAATGAAGGAGGGAAAAGGTGGAGGAGATTCAATTGGAAGAAGAGGCAGCTGCCTCTTTTCAAAGAATACAAGGTCCCGTTTTGCTTCCTTCAACTCACAGATCAGCCTGAGGGCCTAAAACCAAAGTTTTAGGAAACTCCTTCCATGCTGCCCAGGATAGTCACCAAAAGGGAAAAGGGTCAGAGACAGCAGCTGTTATCTCTCTCCTGAGCATGGAGGAAGATCTGTGTATCAAAAGCAAAGACCTCAAGGAAACCACCTCGGCTTTCGCCACTATTGCAGTCACCACCTTGCGTCACACTGGGAACCAACCTGGGGCCCCCGAGCTAAAAACACAACTCTCCAGCTGGACCTACAAAAGCTCGGCTCTCAAGGGCTTTAACAGACTTGCATCCTTGGAGGTCAGACACAGAGGGAAACATGTTAAGACACCCTGGTCACAAGGTTATATTATCATTAAAAATAGTGAGTTATTACTAATACAGTTTCCCTGGGTTAAATAAATTCAGCTTTCCTAGCCTGATTCAAACTACGTGAATGTAAAGTTTCAAAATGTTGAACAAAGGCAGTCTCTCCTCAATAATTTGAAATTATTCAGACCATATATGTAACAGCAGGATACATGAATAATTAAATGCTCTGTAAGCCTTTGTTTCTGAGTGGAAAGTATAAGGATTTCCACTTCCAAAGATACTCATAGAGCTTTCTTTTCCAGATGAAAAACTGGCTCCAGTCACAATTGAAATAAACATTTTGATAACACGATTTCAGTAAAGAGAAGGGGGGAGGAAGTAGAGGAGCCTTGAGAAAAGGTCCATTTGCAAAACAAAGCAAACCTCCTGCAACTGAAATCCCCTTTTATTTCCTGTACAGGTGCCAGGTCTTGAACAGACACCCAATTTATTACCTTGTCAGCTGACTTATTAGGGTTGACACAAATCGAGCTGAAATATGCCTGACATACTGCAGTCAAGGCTTTTTTCACGGTTTAGCACAAAGCCAAACTTTCCACAAGGTGGAGGAAAAGGGAGAGGGAGCTGTGGGAGTTCTATTCCCTGTTTTCTATCATCAAGATGAATATGATCCTCTCCCATTCTTAATATGCAAAACCAGTCATTAAATAACCCAAGGCTAAAAAATAATTCACTAAAATGATACAGCTGGGAAATGATTATCAGGCTCTGGAAAGCCCTTGATTACAGGAAATAGCACCTACATTTTGAGAAAATGTTCCCACCAGACACAAAAGCTGAATCAAAGTGTCTCCTCTTCCTCAGTATGGCTTTCTTCTCTAGCATTTTAGCCTAAATAATGTAAATCCCCAGTTTTCCTCAAGGAGAAAAAAGCTATCAAATGCAAAACTAAGTAAAATGGAGGTGAGTTTAGTATCCCTACTAGCTGTATTGTACACAATATTGCATAACATTTTATCTGAC